AAGAAGAACACATTCCCGACTGATGAGTGAAGGGCGTTTCTGATGAAGGGCTTGACTTAAATGTTCCAGTTGTTTACTATAGATCTCTGCATTGACAGTTCGCTGTGGATTGAGAAGTTCGAAATAAATTACTCCTTTGATGTCCCACTAAATGCAAATCATTACTTTTTATGGATGGAGTCCAGGTTTTGGGGTCGGAAGTAGTTTTTGTCTAGGACTGAGGCATTGTTTTTTGGCGTTTACTATTGGCATAGGGAATCCATTTTTCATCACCTGTAACAATTCTGTCCAAAAATGGTTCACGCGCATTACGCGCCAGAAGAGACGAAGCAACGTTCACACGTCGGAAACGATGATCATCGGAGAGTTCGTGAGGCACCCAAACATCTTCTTAGATGTTTACGTATTGTTTCATGAGAGACATGCAATTTCAGGACCATTTCACGAGTGTGTTGCCTTGAGCTAGAGTAAACAAGCGTCTACAGAGTATCAATATAAATTCCAACATGTCTACCCCAACCATCACAGTTTTTAAGGCTAAAGTCACCTGAACGAAATTTGCTGAACCATCGTTGACACTTACGAACGTTCAAAACATTTCCATAGACTTCTTTGATGGCCCGGCATGGCCAGGTGGTTAGGGCTCTCGACTCGCAATCTGAGGGTCGCGGGTTCGAATCCCCGTCCCACCAAACATGCTCGCTGTGGAGGCGTTGTAATGTTAGGGTCAATCCCACCATTCGTTGGTAAAAGAGTAGCCCAAGAGTTGGCGGTGGGTAGTGATGACTAGCTGCCTTTCCTCTAGTCTTATACTGCTAAATTAGGGACGGCTAGCGCAGATAGCCCTCGTGTAGCTTTGCGCGAAATTCAAAAACAAACAAACAAATATATAAATATATATATACACGTCATATCTTCTGTTTCTCGATTTATTGTTGTACGTCTGCGTCATGTTAGTATAGATATTATAAATGTTGGCACAAATCAGTGTGATGATGGAAATATGTGTTTCTTATGTTTATCTATAAAAACAAACAAACAAACTTCTTTGTTATTCTTTGTGGCTACAGAGGCGTTGTTTCCCTTCTTGTATTCAAACAGCATTACATGCCGAATGTGCGTTTAGCCGTGTGCCATCACTATAAGGGATTAGAGTATACTAATCTTTACACATTACATACGCTACACTAACGTGACGTTTAGGCGGTTCGTTTAACTATTATACGTGATGTACGTTTTTCGTGGGATGGTTAATTAAAGTGTTCCAAAATGCGACATTAATTTCTTAACGACCTAATATATAGGTTTGACTTTATTATCAGTCATGTTTTTGCTATTGGAGTGTGTAACTTTACACATATTCATAAATAACTACCTTTTAGAAAGGATTACCAGATTTCCAGATTGAAAAACTTACACACAGAGTGATATAGTAACAACTCTAGTACAGTTTAACTTACAATAACACACTAGAGTGATATAGTAACAACTCTAGTACAGTTTAACTTACAATAACACACTAGAGTGATATAATAACAACTCTAGTACAGTTTAACTTACAATAATACACTACAGTGATATAGTAACAACTCTAGTACAGTTTAATTTACAATAACACACTAGAGTGATATAGTAACAACTCTAGTACAGTTTAACTTACAATAACACACTAGAGTGATATAGTAACAACTCTAGTACAGTTTAATTTACAATAACACACTAGAGTGATATAGTAACAACTCTGGTACAGTTTAACTTACAATAACACACTAGAGTGATATAGTAACAACTATAGTACAGTTAACTTACAATAATACACTAGAGTGATATAGTAACAACTCTAGTACAGTTTAACTTACAATAACACACTAGAGTGATATAGTAACAACTATAGTACAGTTTAACTTACAATAACACACTAGAGTGATATAGTAACAACTCTA